AACAAAATCTCCCCAAAGAACAAAAAACAAAATCTCCCAAAACAAAACTATCACAGACTATTATGACTTAAAGTTATAATGTTTAGAGCTTCTTCAAGGAGATAGAGACAAGCGGTTTTCCTTTCTTTTTGAAGATAACTTATGGTAAGTAAAATTTCATGTTCTCGACTCAATAAAGTGCCCTTACAAAACAAGACATTACAAAATAAGACAAAATAAGACCTTACAAACAAAGTCATACACACACAACAATTATATCTTCACAACAATCACAATGTTTCAAAAGAGATGTGAGAAACCATAAATCTTATACTCAAGAAGATTACCCCATTTCTTACCAAAAAGGGCACATGCAAAGCTGGCTTTAGGTAGTAGTTGGACTACGTAGTTTGGTGCAGCTTTCGTAACCATATGGAGTTCGGCTAACACTTGATCCAAATCTTTCTCCAAAAAAGGATCATAAAACACATCAAACTTATCAAGTTTTGGCATCATCTGTAGAAAGAGTTTGACCTGCTTTATGTACACCTTAATTTTGCCAGTCTCAAATAACAGTTTGACAACCTTAACGGTACTAGAACGCAACCAAGCAAAATCGTCTTCATTCTCGGATTTCCACAAACATGTGCCGCTGCATATCTATGGAGGAGTCCCTGGAGAATAAGAAGAAAGCTTAAGAGTCTAGTTACAAGAACTTTTGTGTGCGTTGTAACATGATTTTTTTAAGTGTTTGTTACATACTTTGAAGACGAGAGTTTTAAGGTTTGGACAATTGTGGAGCATAGGTGATAATCTTTCCCATCCACATATCTGGCGACGATTGTCTAAATCGATAGTCAAATGAGTTAGGTTGCTGAATATTGGCATATGTTTGCAGAAAGGCTTCATGACCTGAAATAGTCAACTTAACAATTTTTACTCACACTGAAATCAATAACACAACAGCAAAAAGATAAAGTTTAAAAGGGCCAGAATAGAGAACTTGAGAGTTGAGGCACACAAGTAGAGGGTCTGCACTTTGTGAATCCCCATTATCAAATTTGTACCGAATTGGCCTAGGGATTCTTCATTGCCTTCCTCTATCATCCTTTTTACCTTCCACACATCCCTGCTTGTCATCGTAATATATATTCTTGCTTCAACAATCGAATCCAAAATCACTTTAGGATACTCAGCTGCGAGGATTTCACGATAATCCCATTAGGTAGTATTCGATAATTCAAATGAAACACTTCTTGGTATGTAAATGCGCTGCTGAGCATAAAATGTAGAACGAACAGAGAACTCATTCCACCTTGTCGAAAGTATACGCCAAATTTTGAGTTCCGAATGACTTTCGGCAAGGTGGAATGATTTCTCTGTTCGTTCTACATCTCTGCAGAGGTTCACATCAAAACTCAATTTCTTCCTTTTCGGCCTCTTTTCAAAAACGAACTCCAACAGACACATAGTCTTAAACATCGGCATATGAGATTGTCCAATACAAATGATGGAAGGTATGTACTCATTCCTTATTTGTAGGTTGGCTAGTGTATCGCTGGAGAATAGCTATGATGGAAGCTCAAATTGCCCGAAATGTAAATCCAAATCAATGAGCAGTTGTACATATGATACAGAGCGCGATAGTGCTTTCACTATCCAGCCACGGACATACAATTCTACATTTCAGTGGTCACGCAAATCAATTCCAGCATGTTCTATCTTCAGGGAAAAATTTCTTAGCTGGTGATCATGTTGCAGATTCATTACCCTACATCCAGAGAATGTGAAATCTAGAAATTTCCTTAACCAAAAATTTCTCGATTTCACGTTCTTTGGATGTAGAGAAGATGTTTCTTTAGTTGTCAGGAATGACAAAACGTGACACTTAAATTCCGTTGCAAATCGCTTAACTGATCCTCTATCTCATTGACTATTTTCTCTTCTATGGAATCGGTGAAGAGCGAAGAGAGAATCTGTTGAAGAAGAACCGTATCAAAAAATTTTAAATTTCATAGCTAAACCATATAAATCTTAAAACCTTAACGACAAAACCCATTGAGAGAAATCTGGTTTCAACAAAGAGAATTCGAATCTAAGAGCATCTTTATCGGTAAGTTTCTCAAATAGTCTC